CAGTGAAGAATCAGTGTCAACACTGATGTGAGGAATTACATCCCCCCTCCGGAAGTTCGATCACATGTAATGGTGGTAACACGAGAGTGCAACTCCTGAGATACCCGCATTCATCATCTACGTCATATTTGGACTGAGGACGTCAACCCAAACGGTAAATTCATCCCTCCAAGCATTTGGATTTTCTTGATCACCCCAGCTCCATAATGACCAGGCCTTGTGCCAACTTTCTCCCCAGCACTCGCATTTCCGGAGGGCCCACTGAACACTTTAGAGCCTTTCCGATGGAACCTGGGATCATCTCAACGGTGTTGCGCCTTATGGCTAGATGCCAGTAAGGGAGTACTTTGACCACTATCTTCCACGCCGAGTAGCTAGTATACTAAAACGTAAGACCCTGCAATACCGGAATCATTTCGGCTTTCGGCCATCTGTTAATTTGATTCAGAAACTCGGAACACCATAGAACAGTCCTCCAGTAAACCATTATCCTCTTCATTCGCTATGACTGATTCGTTTTATCGTCGAATTCAATCGAATCCGTCCTATTCCGCCAAAAGCGGGAGATACATACGGCTTTACTCATTCGGCCAGCCTGCGCACTGACGATGTCTCCTCGACTGGGGACGAAAGGTTTTCAAGCTAATTGACTAGCTCAGCGAACAGCCATCTGATCAACAACCGGTAAAAACACTCGAGCTACCAGTGCCAAAACCACGTCCAAAAGAGCAGAGGGGACGCTAAGGCCAAAATACAAGGTCCTCATGTGATTCGTCAGGGGCTCAAACCATTGTCCGGGCGAACTACGGGGTTCGCGGATTCACGAATTGATACACAGAATCGAGGCTTTTGTCAAGTTTCCCGGTTCGGCTTTATTCATGTCGTTCAGCGGCTGTCCTTCACCTGCAACGCACAAATCTCATCGTGAGGCACTATGCTTGCCAGAGCGAGGAATCGCATAAATAAATGTCTAGTAGTGCTTCGAACTGGGTTCTAGAAGGAGCGTGGACAACCGTCGGAGGAAGTTAACTCCACGCGGCTACCACCCGAAATGATAAAAAAATTGCCTAATGAATGTGTGCGCTCCTAGCTTGAAAATCTTCTCACAGTGTCCCCGCCGTGTGTTTCCTGGGTCAACGGTGAAAAACCTGTTGACCAAGCTCTGTTCAAATAGGGCATAAGTAAGAATTAGGTTTCCTAGAAGGCGACGATACTCAAGGGGAAAGAGATGAAGCATCGCGAGACAGGTATCGTAGTTCACGGATTTGAGGCTAGCAACCATTTTCAAAGCGGCTCGTTGGACACGCTCAATGAGGGTGACGTCTTTCGTGCGTTCTGGGTAGAAAACCTGGTTGGTGTATTCCGGGAGCGGTCTGACGTCGGGCCCGATAGAGTATTTGGAAGTCCATGCGAGTAATATGGGAGAAGGTGTGTCGGATCATCCGGAAAATGGCACGTGCCTTTTGGGCCGATTTCTCATGGTGCGGTGGGAAATATAGGTATGAGAATACCCAGATACCCAAATCCTTTTGGGCGTCTATCCTGGTCCTTTCCCACCATGCATAACAAAGACATTCGCTAAGTCTCCTCCAAATGACATATGGACGCACTTTTCGTCATTCAGAAGAGGGTGCCGGACCAACGACCACTGCTTGGCAGCGTCTACATCCATTTGGGGGGTACTGGTATTGGAACTCCAGGATTTCAATTCGTCCGCAAAAAGTGGACACGGACATGCAAGAACATCTGGAAGGTCGTTGACGTAGATCGAAACAGCAGTGGTCCCAGGACGGAGCCTTGAGGAACTCCAATGAGGACTGGCGCTGGAGAAGAGTAGGTCGAGCCGACTCTCACTCGGAATGATCTGTCTGATAGGCACGCCTTGATCCAG